TCAGATAATTCGGAGTTTAAACTATTGGATTTTTGTTCATAAGATTTGGACGCATATTGCAATGATTTAATCAAATCCAAATTTCCAGCATTTTCAATATAAATTTGAGTACTCATTTCTTTTAGCGTTTTCATTTTATCTTCAAGATCAATTGAACGCTCTTTTTCTGATTTTAATGCTTGCTGGTAATTTTGAATATAGATTTTCATCTTATTAATCTGTATATTGCAAGGTTGATGAATTATCTCTTCATTCATCTGCTCTTTCTCCTTATAACTCTTAATGTTCTTTTCCAGTTCAGCAATCTTAGCTCTCAACTCTTGATTCTCCTTCATTTGAATATCTGCCATTTAAACAAGAAAAATTGATCAGTTAAGGATCTATGCAGTGAAATCAGCAAAAGAAATATGAACAGTTAAGCTCAAAAAGAACAGAAAAACACAAACACTGAAAAACACATGCAAAAACAAATGTACAATGATCCAAAAAGAAAATCTAAACACAAACAATCTAAGAAATCAAAAACAGTCCAAAAAAAATTATCCAAGTCCACAAATGTGAGTCTAAGTCCAAATCAAACAGATCCAAGCCCAAATACAATACACAAGTTACAATTTTAAAGAAATATCTATCTGCTCTAGAAAATCTATTCAAAAGTCACTTGAAAGCTTCTAGTATGGATCTCGTATCAATCACTTTCTTCTCCAGTATCTGCACACTGTTTCAAATCTGTAAAAAACAATTCTCAAAACAATCAAAACTGTTATTACACTCTCAAAACTAATTATTAACAACCAAATCTGTGACAAACAACAACTATAAACCTCCTGTTATGACAACAAACTATTGCTGCAATGCACAAACTCAAACCAGTTATTGCTGTGTATCTCAAACTGAAACAAAAAAAAACACTGCACACTGGCTACTGCTATTACCTTTGCTTCCCGACACCAACACAACTCAAATTAGAACAATTTAAGTTTCTGCTGTGAAACAATTGCAGTTAAAAATTGTTGCTGCAATGCTAATGCTGCTGCTGTCACATGTACATACTAAACCAAAACAACAAATCTTTCACCTTCTGAAGCTGCTGTTATCAAACCTGTTGTTAAACACAAACATTATAGCTGCTGTTTGAAGAACCTGCAGCTGTCAATACACAGCACAGCAATCAAAATCACACTATCTTAAACTGGTTACCGATTAGCAATCAATTCATAGCATTCAAATACCATACAGCCAGCTGTAAACCAGTCAAAAAAAAAATTAAACTCAAGGTGGTAAGCAGTTAACTGTTTAGTTGCAGTTGCTGTATGTTACAAAATTGATGCTACTGTGTGTGAACCTGCTGTGTGTTGTACACTTGTACACTGTGTATGCTGTGTGATGTACACTCTGTTGATAAACCTCAAAACAGATCCTGCTTAAAAGACTATGGAGCTGCTACAACATGCTGTCAAGATGGTTGTTGCTTTGCTACTATTGCTAAACTAAGAACCTGCTGTTACTGCTTCCTGCTCTTGCTGTTAAGACCTGCAACCTGTTCACTGCTGTGAAGTTGCTGCTATATAACTTGCTGTTTACTGCTTCCCAAACAAAAACAGTCACACTCAATTGTTAAGACCTGCTGTGTATTTAAGTAGCTGGGCTGCCAAAATAGTTGCTGTATCCACACAATCTATTCTGCTCCAAGATACCTAAACTTGGTCAATCACACAGCAAAATAAACATTTAAGCAATGAAAACCGATTGAGAAAGCTAAACTGTACAATTTCAAATGTAACAGCAAGCTATGTGATCAATTCAAGCAATCTATCTACCTGCACTTCAAAATAACTATGAACAAACCAGCAAAGAACCTGTTGATGTCCTCTTGTTGCTGTCAAAATGGTTCTTGCTGACTTGCTGTTACCAACACATCACTGCACAGCTGTTTCTGATTCAGCTTCTGTCAAGATATTTGATGCTGTTCAAGACTCAAAACCTGTGTACAAAACTCATAATCTATTCAACCTACTGCTATGACAACAACATTCTGCTTCAGTGCTCATACTCAATCAAAACAGCAATTGATTTTAATATATCAATCAAACTCAAAACTTAATTGTGTAGCAGCAGATGGTTACGATATAACAAAAAATTTCAATACTCAGGACTGCTCAAAACTAGTTCAAACAGCCGCTTACTCACAGCTTTAAGAAAGTTGCTCACTGCAAAATCTTAAGACTTCTCACTGCATGAACAAAGTCTGATTAATACATGAAAGATATCTGTTACAGCACATCAGTCAATATACAGCATTCAATAAGCATGAACTAAATCGCACACTGATTTAACAACACAGCCTTTTAAATCAAACAAGATCACTTGAGCTTGAATCAAAATTGGATAAGTGAGACTGAAATCGAACGGATTAGAAATCCGGATAGAAGTAAAACTTTACCTTGAAATGAACAAGCGGTTTAATAAACCGGACAGAACACTTCAAATGAAATCAATCACAACACAAGCAAAACCGCTCAATTGAATGAGCGAATAACCCTAAATTTCTCAAATATAATCTTACCTGATGTGAATCCGATGATATGTTGTCCGGTGTAGTTTAAACCGTTCAAGAAATCTGTAAGAAATGAGCGGTATACCTCTGCTGAACGAATCAGAGCCCTAATCCGGTCAAGTGGTGACCGGTGTAGATGAATACCGTTCAAGGCTTCTGCGGTGTTGATGAATACCGCTCAATGTGCTGTTTACCTCTCCGCTCGATGTACTTGCAAATCCGATTCACCTTCGATTTCCTTTTCTCCGTTCAATTTGTGTGAGATCTCTTATCCGCTCAAGTTTTAGAAGGAAACCATGAATCAAGTTTGAGAATCCGGTCAAAATAAAATTGGGCTTAAAATGAATTTTGGGCCTTTGACATTTTAGACGGTTTAACAAAAATAAAACAAATTCAAACTAAAAATCAGATTAAAACTAACAAAAACACAAAAACTAAAAGAAATTTAAGAAAAAATGGATCAAAACACTGAATTTTTAAAAAAAATTCAAGAACACGAAAAAAATTTAAAACACAAAAATCCGATTAAATCTTGATAAAGATTGATTAAATCAGAAAAGTTTGTGAATAACAAAGATTCACAACACAATTTCGAACATATTGATCATGTTTTTAACACCAAAACACAAGATTTTATGAAAAAATCGGATCAAACAGAAAGAAAAAAATAAGAACACGAAGAACAAAAAAAAATTCATAAATTAAAATTTCACTTATCTCTTCGATTTCTGTATCTGATTTCTTGCATTCCGCTCTGATACCAATTGTGTGTCCACAATATCTGATCAATTCTTCATTTCTTCATATAAATCATGGCAGATTTAGATTTTCATTCAAGAACAATATGAACACATATGAATTAGAAAAATTAGAAATATACTCGTTTAATACTGTAAGATGTATCTTGATTTTAATGTTTTGTTTTATTCTATGTCTTCTTATTCAAAAGTTCTCATTTTTTTGTATAATTTATTTATTTCATTTTTTATTATAATTTAATTTAATGAAGTAATATATTTTTGTTTAATAATATAATTTTTATAAGAATAATAATTAAATATTTTGCTAGAACTCAATTATTATGTTAATTATATTTTTATATTTTTTATATTTCAAATGAGATGTTTATCATATATTTGATTATGTTTATGTACAGTTACTTACATGAATTCAAAGATGAAGTTTTAATAAGTTGTACTTACAATGTACTTGTTATCTTAAGTTTTAAATAATATGCATCATAAATAGTTCATGCATAAAAAATAGTTTTTATCAAATGCTTTATAATATAATATAGGTATAGATAATCATAAATGCCCTTAATCCAATTTGAGATAGAAAAATCTTTTTGTCCCTAATTTTCAAGGCTAATTCTAGTCCATCAATTATATTACAAATACATGAACTTGAAATAAATAAATCTAAAATACATAAAAATATATAATGCTAATTTTATTGATGGGATAGGAATAAGACAGGATTTGAAATATTTATCCTTAATTGGATCGTTCTTTTAGCAACATTAATCAACTCAATAAACCATAACAAATTGACACATGAAAACCCACCTCAAAATGAGGTCGGAAGGTAAGATGTACTTCGAAAAGTAGAATGGTTGTTTCGTGAAAACCCGGTTGATAAGATTTTGGGAAGTAAGCAAGAGTCCATAGGACTTTAAAGATGTGTTTGGTAAACTAGACTGGATATAACATAACAGAACATAGATTACTTTCACGCTTGACATGAGTTTTATGTAGAACAAACAGGAACAAACTGGAACAGACGTGTTTAACCTCCACCTCGTGGAACGAGGTGGAACATACTCATATTTTATTAGTATAACGCCAAAATAAACCTAGTTTTCTTCTAAAACATTAAATACACATTTCTTTTTACAATTTATTCTTTAAATTTTATTTATTGTATTTTATATTTTTTAAACTTTCAATTCATAATGCCCAAAATTATTATTTTTATATAATTTCTATATTTTAATTAATTTATGTAAATTATTAAATACTAATAATATAAAATAATATAAAAAAGGTATAAAATGAACATTAAAAAACTATCTAGAGTCTGGACAAACGTTAGGTACTTAGGTCTACGAACTTTGGGCCAAGCCCCTGCTGGGTCGTTTTCTTGGGTGATGAGAACGATATGAGCCAAGAAAGAAACATAACTCTTTTGTATTTCGGTCTAAAATTTTAAATGGACATTCAGATAATTGAGTTCATATGATTTATTGGATATAAATAAACTAGTTGGGTTAATTTGTTTTGAGCTTTTAGTTATTTTCTGATTTTTTTTCAAGTGGTTTTTATTTAAGATCATTATTAATGTTGATCTCATTGATTTTATGATGATCTATTTTACCTTACAAAGTATAATTCAGTGATTTTCAAATAATTCAGTTTCAGTGATCTTCATTGAGTCTGTTCAGTGATTGCTGAACATGTACTGTAACTCCTTCAGAGACTGTTGTACTTCAAGAAGACAAAACTCACACCACATATCCTTCAGCGATGTCGAAAACGAAACATGAAGATTAGAGACCAGCAAGTTCGTGATCTGAAGTGGCATTTAGTGATTACAAGCTCGTCTACATATGTGTGAAGTTTGCTCAAGTTTCAACGAATACTGATGAGATCTTTCAACATCATTCTAGTATTCAACGATCAAAGGAAACTTACTAAGCATGATTGTTTTTGTCTTGTTCTCCCTCATACAAAGGACAAACCCATACCTTTTCTAGAGTATAGTATAGTACGGAGCTACTCCGTTCACTTTATAGTGCTACCTGCTTTATGAAAAGATGACTGCACATATACAACCAAAATGATATTTACTGTAGCAAACGACAAACTTTCCTCCAAAAGCTTGACACGTGCTTTGTACCTTCTGAATTGCATTTAATGTAATGGGTATAAATAGTTGAGTGCTCTCCTCTCAATTATCATCTTTCCACTACTAACCCAAGGAGTCATTTGTCTCTACTCTCTACCTAAGAGAAATAACCACTTAGAACAAGTAAAGAGCACTTACATTATTATCTTTATTTCTTGTAGCAGATCTTTTCTTTTTGCTATTTGTAATTGTGTGAACCTTGGATTGTTTATATACGTTCTTTACCTTATCTCTTCCACAAACAATCTGTAAAATTTATATTGAACTTTCTTTATCAATATATAATTTTTAAAACTGAAAGTTTCTGCGTTTGTATTCATCCCCCCTTCTACAAACTGATTACCTATAACTCTTATAGATCCGTCTGGGACCAACAAGTGGTATCAGAACGACGTTTGCTTTTTATGTTGTTTTATTGGTATTTTATTATCTCTTCTTCTTTAGATAATTTATCCATGTTAAAATGGTTTTGCAAAACATCAGCACTCACTTTCACGACAATGACTCTTTTGCCAAACCTCCCCGTTTCATCAGAGACAACTTCAGTCTATGGAAGAATCGGATGTCTCTTTTCTTGGAAGGTGTGGATCCTGAGATCCCATACTATATAGAGAATGAACCCTATGGTCCATCCGTTATCTTTCCAGCAGTTCCTGCAACTGCTACAACTGTCATGATTCCTGAACGACAGATTCCAAAGCTCCCTCATCAATGGAGTGATGAAGACAAGAAGAAGGTTGCTTTAGACACTCGTGCGAGGTCTATAATAGTCATGGCTCTTCCTGACGAGGTATATCACTTTCTGATTAAGCTCAAAACCTTAAAAACCATGTGGGATGCTCTATGTGTTCAATATGAAGATACTTCTGAAGTACAAGAATCGAGGAAGATAAATCTAGTAAGACAATATGAAAGCTTTCTCTGTGGAAATACTGACACTTTGTTTGAAGTACATTAATGTTTTAATTGTCTTCTTATTGATTTGAAGACAGTTGGAAGACAATATTCCAACTCAGAGGCATTGACAAAGTTCTTAGAATGTTTGTCAGAATCATGGGATCATTATACCAAGTGTCTCAAGATGTCCAAGGACATGTCATCCCTCTCTCTTAGTACCCTTTATGGGATATTGCATAATCATGAGAAATCCTGTCAACTGAAAAAGAATCTTCTTAAAGATTTTAGGAAAATGAAAAACTCTCTGTTAGCTTTGATCTCTGAAAGCCCTTCAGTTGACCCTTCTTTTTCTTCTATTCCTTCTATTTCTTATGTGTCTATCACTGAGCTAGATCCTTCTAACTCATAGGGCTTGTCAGACGCTGATCTTTCAGAGTTTGATGAGTCATGGGTCCTTCTTACTAACTCTTTTAAAAGGTTCCCCTTAAAAAGTAATTACCGCAAATCTTCATCGTTGACTCTTTCTGAAAATCCAAAGTCAAATCCAATTGACAATGCTTCAGTGATCTGCTACAACTGCCAACGCAAAGGTCATTTTACTAGTGAGTACAGGTCCAAGAAGACTGCAATGCCATCTTCCAAAACCCTATCCTCATTCAGATCTAAAGATAAAAAATAACTTAAGCTGAAGGAGAAGTATAAGAAGATGAAGAACTTTCAGCGTAAAGGCAAAAGTCTTATCACTGAAGAACATGACTGGGTTGATTCTTCTAAAAAATCACCCTCTAACGAGGAAGATACGACCTATCTTTATCTAATGGCCAAGGATGTCGAAGATGAACCATCAGAGACATCATTCTCCAGTGATCCCTCATCATCTACTCCTACTCGGGTATGTTCCGTGAATGAACCCTCTTCTACTACCTCTGATAGCCTGTCTGCACTAGATATGCTGACGGTTGATATTTACAATGCCCTGAATGACAAATTCAAAGCTGAAAAGCTTAATGTTCATCTTCAAGAACAATTAGATAGATGTCATTCTAAGATCAAATAGCTGACTAAGATTGAAGAAAATCTTAAGGATCAGGTCATTGTAAACCAAACCATAAGCATCGAACGCGAGCAGGCTATCGTTGAGCGTGAGTAAACTATTGTTGAACTCAAAGCTGAGAAGGCTACCATTGGAGGGTGGTGCAAATCCTCCATCAAGGCCTCTGAGCTCATCAAGGCTCAGATCCCTGCCAAGATAAAGAGTGCTCTAAGATTCTCCTATGATCAAGAAGAATGTGTCACTGACAAGTCCATGCTTAAGTTTGGTACTTTTATCTCTTCCATTCCTGACACCTCTTATTCTTAGTACTCTTCCACTGAGACTCATCTTGAAGGAACTCCCTCGAGTTCAGGATGCAAATACAAAGGTAAATCCATTGTAAT